TAATTTTTTCTTTTACTTTGCTCCAATCGGAAGAATACCGGCGGTTTCAATGAGCTACTTTTTAACATTTTTGGTGTACATTTGACTTTGAATCTATATTTCACACATATTATAATGAAACATACTCATGCTTTGATTTATAACTACCTTCTCATTCAAAATAAGGATAATAATGATTTTTATAAAAAGAAGTGATGTCGTAATTTTTGTTGTGGTATTAATAGAATCGCTTTAAAACGAGTAATACATTTGAAGTCGTATAAAACCATTCAAACATATTTCACTCATAAACCACCTTTCGCTTTTTGAAAGGCCATAATTGCACAAAGAAAGAAGGTTTTTCCACGGAGAATGTGCGAGAAATACATGCTTTTCTAGCAACAAAATCGTAAAGTTTGCAGATTTTAGACGGTTGGTGTGAAGAAAAATTGCGGTTTTTCTGTTGTTGGGGATAAAATTGGGGTCGGAGGACACTAACATGTTAGTTATAACGTGAAATTAAAATAACCAGATGATTAGCCCAAATTTGTTTAAATGAGACACAAAAGCACCTAACGTAGTCATAAATCACTATTTTAACTCATTAAACTGCTATTCTAAAGTTGCAGAGTTGATGAGCCTATTGTAAAAAACCTGTGGAAGATTTTTTTGTTGAAAACATCTACTTTTGCCTAAGAGCTGCTAATAACACTTTACTGGCTAAATCAAATGAGATGAGGATCAATATAAGTACAGGCGCATTATCTGGAACACCTCTTCACTAGTCGAAGAATTATAAGAAATAAGTTATACAGATATTTTTGTAAACAATCTGGTAAAGTCGTGTTTTTCTCAACTATAACCACGTTATTCAGTAATATTTTGCCGTTTTAAATACAAGTTTTAGCCTAACCCTAAGTTGATACCAGCCGTAGAATGTGCTCAACCAATTAGATACAGTTTAGAATCATTTTTTCAAAGTTACAACACTCAAATACGACATAAATCTTCCCAATACCACAAACGTTTATTCATCAAACTTGTTAGAAAATAAGCTATCTTAAGAAATGTTCACTGCTGCAACAGTTCTACATTATCAGAATGGTTCCGCGGAACAATTCTGTTGGTATTTTTGTAACTTACTGAGATCATGATAAATTAGCCTGGCAGAGAGTTCCTTAAAAAGGCAATTTGCTCTGCTGCTACCAATAAAAATTAGCTATCACTCTGTTTCAGCAAAAAAAATTTCACTTAACAACTGTAATCCATTTGTTACTGTCATAAAATTTATTTTTACAAAGCAACTTTTGATCTTACATTTCTTATTCCTTTTGTAACTACCAAATCTTTATCTGGAATACTAAAAATATGATCTTCTGTAAGTAGTTTGTGCAAAAATTACTGCAGAAGAAGATTACTTTTTTAACGTCATGGTTGTTGCTCTGTATTTGATGAAACATTCCTGTTATTTCCGAAAAAGAAAAAGAACCTAGCGCAGGAAGGTTACAACAATTTCTAAAATTTCCTTCTCGTATCAGGAACCAATTCCTGAACAATTTGTTAAGTCCGCTTTTCGACGTTTAGAAGGATATTTCACTGGAGCGGTGGGGAAGGAGGAAGCACGCAAAAATTTTCGATTTAACAATCTCTTCTTAAAACTTCAAGTTAATTGTTTAGCTCTAAAAACTTTTTCAATTTTTAGTCCTTCACCAATGTGAAGACCAAAAAATAGGTGAAATTTTGGAAAAGGATAACACGAAGCTGCGTAGCACTTTTATGATATATGGCTAAATGTCTTTTCGTTAAATAATTTTAATAGGATTTGAAAAGAGGACTCAGGAAATTGTCAGCTTCTAACTATGAATCTCTCTGTTGAGACTCTCTCTTCTAACTCTGTTGAGTATCAACAGATTTTTTCACTTAAAATATTTTAAACCTCGTTTAAAAAAAAGCAGTAAAAGAAAAAAAATAAATTAAAAGTTTTTTTACAGAAATCGCAAACTTTTTTTACAAAACCACAAGAAAAAGTAATTTCCTTTAACGACACCCAAAATATTTCGTTTCTAGATTGAAAATTTACCCTAACTTTGTTCTTTTTCTGCTGTCCAAAGAGTCAAGCATACTAAAAATTTATTCAAAAAAGGCAAGAACGTTCTCTATTCTAAATTTTAACCAATGACAGGTTATGAGTTTTCTTTCGAAGGAATTCACTATCAATTTTGTATAGTCTTGAGAAAAATTTTTGAAAGCATTTTGATTCCACAAAGGTAATCTAACTTTTCAGAAAAATTAATCAAAGCGATCATAAATTCGAGTTTTTTGCACCATGTTTTGAACTGAAAATGTTTATTTTTGGAGTCTACAATAGTAAGAAATAATAGTTTGATAAAAAGTGGTTGGATACGTTTTGGTCACATCTTTCAAAAAATGAGCTCAGCATTTATGGCGTTTGTGCCATTCTGTTCTATCCAACTATATTTTATCACCTTTGTTCAACAGTCTTAACCTTTGGCTAACACCTTAAATGAATGTAACAGACAGACATTTTAATAGTCATAAAACCAAACAAAAGTTTACAATTAAATTTTTTCAGAACGTATCCAATTTTTAACAAACAATAAAAATATTTCTAGGCAAATCCAGCTGAACTAGTCATATTGCTTTAGACACTTATTTGTCTTTTCTGAGACTTGTATTTAACCACTCACTTTTAGAGAACCATTGGAGGATTTACTGTTGCTGGTACTTGATTAGTATTTAATCTTGTTCAATCCTCTGTAATCCCACTGAGCGGGCTAAAGTGCCATCAGAAAGAATTGATGTTTTATCATCAGCATTAGGAATACTTTGAAAGTTTAGTCTGTAATACTAGAGTAGCCGTGCAAGTACAGAGTGCTTTTTGGGAAACCGGAAAAGTTACCAAAAGTTTTAGAAGTATTTTGAATAAAATCTTTAGGCAGCACTAAAAATGCAGTGAGTGAAATTTAACGAAAATTAAAGGTTTTAGCAGAAAAAGAATAGCGTTAACAGTAATTTATGGCAACCAGAACTAATTTTTTTTGTCAATTCGTTATCTGATGCGGAAAAAGTGAAAAACTTGAAAATGATTTTTTTTTTTCTTGGCCGAATGCTTCTAAAACTGCAACTGCAGAACCATTACATCAAGCGGAAGCAAGTCGAAGTTAAAACACTGTAGGTGGTGCTGTAAAAGAAAGAAAGAAATATGTAGGCCGGTGAAGAAACGGGTCTTTTTTTCTAAAAATCTTGACTAATCAGCCAGCAGAAGAAAACAAATTTTATTGAAGCGGTCATCGCTTCTTACCATTTCGGAAGCCACGCACGCTACCATTCTGCAAGCTGTCAGATACACCCCACTTTTAAGAAAATCTGTACCTGGGGAGCAAGAAGTTTTAAAATAATCGTGATCGAGAACTCGGAAACCAACCCTGGCAGTCATTATTTTTGTCACTAAAATTTGAACGGATTTTTCGTCTACAAATATTCTGAAGTTGATAGAAATAATATAATATGTATGCACAAACTTATTCTTCATCACTTTTTCAGGTTCCCAGTAGATATTTACATTTATAGCAGTATGCTTCATACAGCCTTCTATTCACTTCATACAGCCTTCTATTCATTTCTCTTAGTTCCTTGGTATAATCCCTTCGCACTGCTTACTTCACTGCGCTATGAAGGAGAGGTTAGATAATGCTCAAAAGTTATATGAGAAGAATGTTAAAATTGCGTCCAAAAGATTTGGAACTTATTCCATTGTTTGGAAGTAGTCACTTCTGGTCATTTTTGAAACCTACCGATGTATTCGCAAGTTTACAGAAACAGCTAAGTGTTAGCACTTGATCTCAGGAGATCTCAAAATTTACAAATTTTTGACCACTGAAATTTAAAAACTGTGTTTAACAGTATGTGAAAGGAAGTTCAATATGAAAGTTTTTAAAAATGCACTGTTTTAGTGCAGAGTGTTAGATAATAGTGTAGAAGTATCAGTCTATCCAGTGTCCTCACGTTATTCAGTAGGTTCAACGCTTTTAGCATATTAGCCCAAAGAGTCATAAAACATATGGCAATACAAGTTCCTATAAAAGCATTAAATAGTCCTGTCTTGGTGAAATACTTTTTGACTTTTATTAAAGGTGTTGTCGTTTAGCAGAAATCGAGAAGAAAAACTCATGTTCTAAGTGTCTAAGATAGCAGCCCAATAACCAGATTTTGATACTCAAAATGATGCTGCCGATGATTTACAGTGATTTTCAAATTTGTGAATTTGTTGTTAGGTCGAAATGAATAAGGCTTTGCTGCCAACGGCATCTGTCCTCCATTATTTTTACGCCGATTATGTTGAAACGGATCCCAGAATTGTTTTTTTTTTGTTTGTGTGCCTATTTTCCTTTTTTTTTTTTTTTTT